AGTTGACTTATTCTTTAATTCCGACCAACTTTGCTTCTTGATATCATAACAAAATGTTCATCAGTGAAAAATACAAAACTTGACCTTGACCCTTTGAACCCCGTAACCTGGACCTAAGGTCAGTTGACTCTGTGTTAAGTTCTGAACAACATTGCTTCATAATGTCATAACAAAATGTTCATCAGGGAAAAGGTACAAAATTTAACCTTCACCTTTGACCCAGTGACCTTGACCTTTGGTCAATTGACTCCTTGTTTAATTCTGAGCAACATTGCTTCAAAGTGTCATAGCGAAATGTTCACCAGTGAAAAGATACAAAATTTAACCTTGACCTTTGACCCAATGACCTTGACCTTTGGTCAGTTGACTCCTTGTTTAATTCTGATCAACTTTGCTTCATCATGTCATAACAAAATGTTCATCAGTGAAAAGATGCAAAATTTGACCTTGACCTTTGAATCTAATGACCTTGACCTTTGACCTCGACTTTTTACCTCAGTGTGTCTCTTTGTTTAATTCCGAACAACTTTGCTTCATAATGTCATAGCGAAATGTTCACCAGTGAAAAGCTACAAAATTTGACCTTGACCCCTGACCCGATGACCTTGACCTTTGGTCAGTTGACTCCTTGTTTAATTCTGATCAACTTTGCTTCATAATGTCATAACAAAATGTTCATCAGTGAAAAGATGTAAAATTTGACCTTGACCTTTGAATCTAATGACCTTGACCTTTGACCTCGACTTTTTACCTCAGTGTGTCTCTTTGTTTAATTCCGAACAACTTTGCTTCATAATGTCATAGCGAAATGTTCACCAGTGAAAAGCTACAAAATTTGACCTTGACCCCTCACCCGAGGACCTTGACCTTTGGTCAGTTGACTCTTTGTTTAATTCTGATCAACTTTGCTTCATGATGTCATAACAAAATGTTCATCAGTGAAAATATGTAAAATTTGACCTTGACCATGACCTTTGAACCTAATAACCTTGACCTTTGACCTTGATTTTTTACCTCAATGTGTATTTTTGTGAACTGAACATCTTGACCAAGTTTCATGTACATCGGTCAATAAATACCAAAGTTATCAGCCAGGAACAGAATTTGTGGACGGACAGACGGACAGACAGACAGACAGACAGACAGACAGACAGAGTGATTACTATAGGGCACCCGTATCTCCGATACGGGGCACTAATTAAAATCTGCCACACCACTCCCCTCTTTTTAAATGTGTTCCCCCTTAAACACTACAACGACCCAGGTTCTAACTCCCTGTCACCACAGGAACAGCCACAGACACCATTTGTAACAGGAAAGAGACTATTGTGCTACCACCGGGGATCGTACCCACGACCCTGGACTTACTAGTCAGACGCTCTACCACTTAGTTAAAGGGAAAATTCACTCTAGCGCGAAGCTTGTAGGTGGCCGTTATCCTATGTACAATTCAAATCTGCCAGACCAGTAAGGTATTGTCAGAAGTTAACCATTATATTCGTCAATGAATTGCCATGCCATGCCTGACCAGTTTCTATGGTCGACCTTTGAGGTCTACGCAAGATAAGCAATGTCACATCATCCATAAACCGGGATTCCGCTGCATTAATATTGATGGTGCGATATTGATTCCTGGTGGATAGATGGGAAAATGTTTGTATAATATACCATAAAATGCCATCCATCCGAACCCCACACTTACGCTACAATCAATGTCTTTACACCAACGGACAGGGGTAGGGCAGGTCTTGTTCATACATTCCCACCTCGTAAACTACTTGCTATGATTTACGAGCTCTACAGACATCATCGGTAGTGGAAGGCTGAGGCTTAATGTTCTTTTTGTTCACTACAAATTGCATGTTTTGGTGTGGGGGGGGGGGGGGGGGGGGGGGGGGGACACCTATAAAACCAGAAATATGTTCCGAGAATATCTATATAATATGTTTCCTTTGAAAATCGCCACACTCGGTTCAAACTGGATAGACTTCACAGAAAAAAGAAAAATATTAATACCTATCATTGATATCGTATTAATTAATTACTGCCATATGACACAGGGGTGTTCAGTTCCACTAGCCTTCGTGATGCCTACAGGGCGTGTAAGTTTCATTTCGGGATAAGCAAACTTTTCCATCATTTACTAATGCATAGTTGTTTAATTTCCCATTGTTCTGATCAGAACTAATACGAGGGGGATTACATTTTGTAAGTTTCATGTCGGGATTAGTAAAACTTTTCCAACATTTACTGATGTATAGTTGTTTAATTTCGCATTGTTCTGATCAGAACCAATACAAGGGGGATTAAATTTTGTGCAGCCTGTGTAGGTATAAATGTCAAGCTCACAAAAATAAAGTAAAATTCGATATTTAACTGTTGTTTTATCTACACTATTTGGCAGTAAACAGATAAACAGATTTTTTTCTATTGTATCTGTAAAAATATGTTCACAGCATTAATATTCGTTTGGTATTTATTTTCGCACAATCTTTGGTGACCCTGCATGAATGTAGCAAAAATTAAATCTTGTGCAAATATTACCAACTATATATACAGCATGAAAATATTGGTGGAAAATCTTGCTGTGGATTTGTACTCTAGACAGAAAATTTTACCTTACCTATGATCGCTAAAGTAATTATGATGTCCAGTAAAAAGAAATCACAGGAAAACAACACAAGAACAGAAGAACCTGACAAAACTAGGCCAAAGATATAGCCTCGCAAACCAAGGGCCTTTTCATTGATTTTCAAGGCTTTTTAAGCTTAAGGCAACCTCTTGTTTTTAGGGCTTTTTCAAAGCCTGCATGAAATATAGCCTGATTAGTTCCAGTTTTTCTTGTTATTACAAATACTTATGAGAATGTTAATTGATAAAGGGATTAGATTATTAAACTCATTAGTGATTTTTATACGGCTCAGTTATTGGGCCTCTGTCTGACATATTGGCCTGAAGCAGAAAATAACAGACCTCGGCCTAAATTACAGAGCCAATATGAAAATCACAGATGAACACTATATTTTTTTGTATATGCTGATACCGTATATTTATTGGCAAGTCCATGCTCTGTAACAAGTCGAGCCTTATTTAACTCATTCACCCCTGAAATTTCATAGTGAACTATTCCAACCTTTGAATTGGAAGAGTTCAAATGTACGTGTCTTCAGGGGTGAAGGTCAACGTGTAAGAATAAGTCCATTCTGATTTTGCTGTGTGCTGTGGGAATAAGCCCAGTGGAAGCATTTTACCCTCTTCTTACAAACTAGGACCTCTGGGGTTTGTTAAGAGTAACAGAGATGGAAAAATGCAACAGCTGGCCAGGATTCCAACCCGGACCTCCTTATTCTAGATAGATGCTTTAACCAAGTGAGCTACCTCAGGTCATGCACAAGCAATTGACCTAGACAGGGTCGAAGTGGCCAAGTTAATCATCTGGGCCCGTATTCATGAAGCCGTTCTCATTCTCAAGCAAGGATTCTGTGCTCATACCAGAATTCTTGTAACTGGCTAAAATTAATGCCAAACGATCAAATAGCAAAATGTAAACATTGAAAACAGTATTTGGCTCTAAGTCTCTTCATTTTTCCCCAAAATTTAAATCATTGACAAAATAAGATTTGCTTATTAATTTATAACCAGAACAAGAAATTATGCTTGAGCACAAAATCCATGATTGAGCATGAGAACAATTTCATGAATACGAGACCTGATCATCTACGATCTAGCCCTCCACCACTGGGTCACAGGTTTGAGGCCACCGTTCGGCAGTCAGCAGGTACTGGCCGCAGATCTTTTCTTGGTACTCAAGTTTTCCTCCACCAACTAAACCTGGCACGTCCTTAGATGACCATATATGTAGATGTTAATGTTGATAGGACTTTAAAAAACAAACAAACTCAACCAACCCAAGAATATAAATACCCAGTTCAGTGCTTTACCAATTGAACTAAAGGGAAATTCTCTTTAGTTGAGATCAGGAACCAGCAACTAAATAGTTCACACTACTGTTCTCCTTTCTTAATTTAAAACTCAAAAGATTTTTTTTGCAGATAAGTGATGATATGACAATTATATTTACGTACAAATTGTCATCAAATATATCTACATGTTCGCTAAACAAACTTTCCAAATATGTCAGCAGGAAACAACATATGAGCTAGGTGGGCACCTAGCTACTATGTAAGTATGGAATAGAAACCCAATATTTGCATAAAACCCTATCCAGGGATTCTACAAAATGCCCTTCACTATACAGTTTTGAGTCTCGACTTTGTACACAGGGATTAAAGCAACTATATATACAGGCCAGCAATCTATCATCAATATATAAGGTTCAATGAAACATGTAAATTCTCGATCATAATCTTCAGGTATTGAAAGCATTGTTAATCCTATTAAATCGAATACCCATCAGTTAGAAATCTCTTTGTTGTTTAGAGCACAAAGGCATTGATTTACAGGTTGTGGACTGGACAACTTGGCGGACGTTGATTTCCAGTAAAATAGAAAGACTACCGAATACAGAGAACTCCCAGGTAAAGGTCGGGACAAGGTGATTATAGCATTATCAGCATCCAATGTTAACGACAAACTTAAAAGACAAGCTTAAAGGACAAACTTAAGTTCCCAGGGTAAGAGCAGAATGATCAGATTATTTCGTAATTTTGCATAAAGGGCTGTAACTCCCTTAAAAAGTGTTGAAATCTGAAATTAAAAAGCCGGTGCACAACTACATAATATACTGATCATTTAAGTGAAGTTTCAATAAAATCTGCCTGTTAGTAAAGATGGAGCTTTCCGGACAAGTTACATGGTGGATGGACAGACAGAGCATTTCCAGTATACCCCCCTCCCCCTAACTTCATTGTAAGGGTATAAAAAATGTTTGGAGTTCCTCATAAAATATGAAGACTTGAAATGCAGATATAAAACAGCTAGCTGAAATGTTATATACCTGTACAACTAAATCCTCAGTAATACAGTATTATAGGACTTACCAAGAATGGCCAGCTTTAGAGCAGATGTGTTGTTCTGGTTGATGTGGTCTTTGAGAGCAGGATGGGTAAACTCGGCATAACATCCTTTGGCCTGGTTTGAGGAAGTCATGGCTGTTTGATACGCCATGCTTGAATGAACACAATAGATATCCACAGCCAACTAAACACAGGAAAGATATCTACTTCACGCGTCACTGAACACAGTAGATATCCATTTCATACGTATACCCTATCGAACACAGTATATGTCCACTGTTGGATACCTGACCGCTGAGCTCTATGAAACACCTCTGTTTCTGCCACCTGTAACACAAACAGAATCTTATATAATATACTATATGTATGATAATGAGAAAACTCAATATTCTCAATATACAATTACTAAGCTCATCTCCATGAGAAAAGAGCAGATGAAGACATGTTATAACGATATTGAATAATTCAATCTGTGCCATGTTACCATAGTAATACCATCTAGTGAATACAATGTCTAGTACAACAACAAACAGCAGCATTCATAGGATACTGTAGTGTTCCTCAAGATAAATGTTAAGGATCCCTGTCCCACGGCACTGCAGTTTTTCGCATGAACAGTAAAACCTCCCCGTAACTTTGTTTAGGATATAGCTGTAGTACAGTTGGTCCACAACACTTCCATTGACTATAGATAGCTCAGTCAGTTAGAGCAACAGTATAACCTCCCCATAACTTTGTTTAGGATATAGCTGTTGTACAGTTGGTCCACAACACTTCCATTGACTAGATAGCTCAGTCAGTTAGAGCGACAGTATAACCTCCCCATACCTTTGTTTAGGATAAAGCTGTACTACAGTTGGTCAACAACACTTCCATTGACTAGATAGCTCAGTCAGTTAGAGCGACAGTATAACCTCCCCATACCTTTGTTTAGGATAAAGCTGTACTACAGTTGGTCAACAACACTTCCATTGACTAGATAGCTCAGTCAGTTAGAGCGACAGTATAACCTCCCCATACCTTTGTTTAGGATAAAGCTGTACTACAGTTGGTCAACAACACTTCCATTGACTAGATAGCTCAGTCAGTTAGAGCGACAGTATAACCTCCCCATACCTTTGTTTAGGATAAAGCTGTACTACAGTTGGTCAACAACACTTCCATTGACTAGATAGCTCAGTCAGTTAGAGCGACAGTATAACCTCCCCATACCTTTGTTTAGGATAAAGCTGTACTACAGTTGGTCAACAACACTTCCATTGACTAGATAGCTCAGTCAGTTAGAGCGACAGTATAACCTCCCCATACCTTTGTTTAGGATAAAGCTGTACTACAGTTGGTCAACAACACTTCCATTGACTAGATAGCTCAGTCAGTTAGAGCGACAGTATAACCTCCCCATACCTTTGTTTAGGATAAAGCTGTACTACAGTTGGTCAACAACACTTCCATTGACTAGATAGCTCAGTCAGTTAGAGCGACAGTATAACCTCCCCATACCTTTGTTTAGGATAAAGCTGTACTACAGTTGGTCAACAACACTTCCATTGACTAGATAGCTCAGTCAGTTAGAGCGACAGTATAACCTCCCCATACCTTTGTTTAGGATAAAGCTGTACTACAGTTGGTCAACAACACTTCCATTGACTAGATAGCTCAGTCAGTTAGAGCGACAGTATAACCTCCCCATACCTTTGTTTAGGATAAAGCTGTACTACAGTTGGTCAACAACACTTCCATTGACTAGATAGCTCAGTCAGTTAGAGCGACAGTATAACCTCCCCATACCTTTGTTTAGGATAAAGCTGTACTACAGTTGGTCAACAACACCTCCAATGACTAGATAGCTCAGTCAGTTAGAGCGACAGTATAACCTCCCCATACCTTTGTTTAGGATAAAGCTGTAGTACAGTTGGTCAACAACACTTCCATTGACTAGATAGCTCAGTCAGTTAGAGCGACAGTATAACCTCCCCATACCTTTGTTTAGGATAAAGCTGTACTACAGTTGGTCAACAACACTTCCATTGACTAGATAGCTCAGTCAGTTAGAGCGACAGTATAACCTCCCCATACCTTTGTTTAGGATAAAGCTGTAGTACAGTTGGTCAACAACACTTCCATTGACTAGATAGCTCAGTCAGTTAGAGCGACAGTATAACCTCCCCATACCTTTGTTTAGGATAAAGCTGTACTACAGTTGGTCAACAACACTTCCATTGACTAGATAGCTCAGTCAGTTAGAGCGACAGTATAACCTCCCCATACCTTTGTTTAGGATAAAGCTGTACTACAGTTGGTCAACAACACTTCCATTGACTAGATAGCTCAGTCAGTTAGAGCGACAGTATAACCTCCCCATACCTTTGTTTAGGATAAAGCTGTACTACAGTTGGTCAACAACACTTCCATTGACTAGATAGCTCAGTCAGTTAGAGCGACAGTATAACCTCCCCATACCTTTGTTTAGGATAAAGCTGTACTACAGTTGGTCAACAACACTTCCATTGACTAGATAGCTCAGTCAGTTAGAGCGACAGTATAACCTCCCCATACCTTTGTTTAGGATAAAGCTGTACTACAGTTGGTCAACAACACTTCCATTGACTAGATAGCTCAGTCAGTTAGAGCGACAGTATAACCTCCCCATACCTTTGTTTAGGATAAAGCTGTACTACAGTTGGTCAACAACACTTCCGTTGACTAGATAGCTCAGTCAGTTAGAGCGACAGTATAACCTCCCCATACCTTTGTTTAGGATAAAGCTGTACTACAGTTGGTCAACAACACCTCCAATGACTAGATAGCTCAGTCAGTTAGAGCGACAGTATAACCTCCCCGTAACTTTGTTTAGGATAAAGCTGTAGTACAGTTGGTCAACAACACTTCCGTTGACTAGATAGCTCAGTCAGTTAGAGTGACAGTATAACCTCCCCATAACTTTGTTTAGGATATAGCTGTAGTACTGTTGGTCCACAACACTTTAACTGACTGAGCTAGTCAGTTAGAGTGACAGTATAACCTCCCCATAACTTTGTTTAGGATATAGCTGTAGAACTGTTGGTCCACAACACTTTAACTGACTGAGCTAGTCAGTTAGAGTGACAGTATAACCTCCCCATAACTTTGTTTAGGATATAGCTGTAGAACTGTTGGTCCACAACACTTTAACTGACTGAGCTAGTCAGTTAGAGTGACAGTATAACCTCCCCATAACTTTGTTTAGGATAAAGCTGTACTACAGTTGGTCCACAACACTTTCATTGACTAGATAGCTCAGTCAGTTAGAGCGACAGTACAACAATTTGAGGTTGAGGGTTTGAGTCCTAGTCTAGCCACATACGCTGACTACTTATGTACTGAATGCTTATGATAGTTGATATTTTTTATTGATTTTTTTATTTCGCCTCTTTCACATCTTTATAAAAGTTCTGTATAGTTTTCTTTTCAGAAATGATTTACCAAAGCTATGTTCATATGCATGCCCAAAAAATAAATTTTGAAAGCATATAGTTTCAGTTTTTGGCAGTGGATCAGGGAACCTTAAGGAATTATGTTAGGTATATGTTAACCATCAAGTCAAATAGTAAGAGCCTATAGGTTCTGTTACAACGAACTAAGGTAGGAAGTGGGCGGGCATAACAACTATTCTAATACTATGGGGGGGGNTCGTATTGGCTCGCCAGCAGGGAACAGTGAGGAGATGAAGGAAGTGACATCAGACAGCCAGCCTACCTGGGACAGATCACTCATTCATTAGAATACCCTCCATCTCCAATCACTGCCATGCAGGCACAACATTCCAGGCAACTATCATCAAAGCATTGTTAACCTAACAAAACATCATCTAACATTTTAAATTATCATTTATTTTCAAATTCTTCAATATCTTACATTACAAGTTTTTTTCAAATTGTATATTGTTTATATTGTTAACATTTAAGAACTACAAACATGCTTGTTTATCCATATGAATAGGTTTTAATTGGAATAATGGTATAAAACATCGTATTAATGAAGTGTTAAGCTAACAAGACTTAAGGAAGCTAGGCTTTGTTGTCCAATAGAATAAACCTGATTTCTGTAATTCATTGATGCATTGTCTATGTATGTGGTACTGTATTGTACATAAACAAAGCGTGGCAACAAAATTATTGCATCGTGGAGCATACAGCTTTACTCTTAAAATAGTTTCATCAGTCAAATTAGAAATACGTTTCTAAACAAGAGGCCCATGGGCCTTAACGGTCACCTGATATATTTATACAGAGAGTTGATTTTGTTTTTAACATGAACAGAAATATTATTCAAAGTGACAAAAAACAATAAAACCACCTTATTCAATATCTAGCATACAGATTTCAGACTAAAAAGAATTTGAAACTAGCACCTCTGATTCTTAACAAGGAAAATGAAGAAATTTTAGCACACTGACTCCTTTGAGCCCCACCCTACAGCCCTTGGGCGTAGGACTGGCTCAAAATTTTCAAAGTATCAAACTGTCAATTCAAGGTTATAATTCCAATCAATTTCAAAAGTTATTAACATGTAATATTCAAAGTATCATTTGCCATTATAAACCATAATAAATTTTGCCCCCCTCCCCTCCTTCCCCAGGGGGTAAACGTGAGACCCTAGGGTCATAAACCTTAAGACCCTTCCATCTATGAAGAGTATTTGATTCTACCATATCTGGG